TTCTGGGAGTTGAAGTCCACACATCTTAGAGCCGCCAAGGTTGAGAAACACTGCTTTAAAGAGACTGCTGCTCTGCCTTTTCTGCATGCCCAAAACCTGTCCTTCCGGCTCCCGTTTGCTCCTCTCCCACTTCTTCTGCCAGCCAACTGTGTGTTTCTTGTTGGGGCTGGGAGTTGCAAAGATTCCTTTGCCTTCCCCGGGGTGGAATGTGTGTGACTTGAATCCTGCCAGCGCAGCGTGACGGTACCCTGGAGGGGACCCCATTTTGTGGCTGTTTCCTTTTCCTTCCAAGGCACAATACTCCCATCACGTAATACAGGAGATCCTGGGGCACCTTGACAGCTGCAAGAGAGACTCTCCCCGTGTTCGGGCTGGGATCATCCAGGTCCTTTTGGAGGCGGTTGCCATTGCCGCCAAGGGATCCATTGGTGAGTTCAGTCAGATGAGCCCTGCTCGCAGCTTTGAGAGTTTGGAACAAGGGCTGGTTTGCTTCTAGGGACATGCAATTGGACGTGGCCTCTCGGGACGGGTTCCTCACGTTGACTGCTCCTCCCAGTGTTAAAGATCTGCAGATGATCCTCCGTGCTCAACACCTCCCAGTGACAGCCGTGGGGATTTGGGTGCTAAAGTGGCTTTTGTCAGAGAAGTGTGACAGGAAGCGGCTTGACTAAACAAGAACGTGTTTAGTGGCGTTATTAGAGGCTGTCAGTCCTAAAATGTCAGGGATGGTTAAGGGAATAATCACAGCACGGGAAGACTAATTAGTGATAATTGGACTGGGGATAACGCATGAGATCTTCTGGCTCAGACTGGCTCAGTTCTGGCAGCTGAGAGGCAGCAGGATCCCGAGGCTAAACAGACATACGTTGTCTGGAGAAGAGGGAGCAGAAGAGCGAATGTGGATAGAAGAAGAGCAGGGTCCTAAATGGCAGCTCAGGGTGGCAAACTGGGCCAGAAAGTCCGGAGGGAAGATCCAGATGGTAAGGAAACTGTTTTTCCCTGGAGCAAAAGGTCATTTGTTGAATGGTTCCAGCTATAAGGCAGAAAATACTCTTGCTAATTTAATCCCAGTTGTTTTTTTCCCATGTCTTTTATTTATTTAAAAGTAGAACTAGTTCTAATGTATAAATTATTTCTAGCCATTCTACTCTTATCTTAACTATATGGTTGAACATTTTTAATTGGGGGTTACCTGGTTGCAACAAATCCTCTATAGAAAATGAGAGGGAAAAACAGTTCTCAGTTGTGAAGATGCTCTTGGTGTCCCTAACATTCTTTTGCTGTTATCTTTTTTTAGAAAGCCTAGAGCTGTAGTTGTGGGTGAATTTGGTAGTTTATGCTTTCTGCCTCTTTATAGCGATTGTCTTTTGGTGATTAATGTTTGAAAGACCACCCTGGCTTTGTAACAGGATCAGCAAGTAAACTTTCTCCACACCCCATTCCCAAGCAGAGACGAAGGAGTTTGATAAGGAATCTTTATCCTGCCAGCTGTTGATGGTCTGAGGCTTTGGAGCTACAGAATTGGTCTCCGGATGTTAGCGTTTAAATGAAACCTAGGCCCGGCTCACATTCTACACCAAAGTCACTTGAATATGTTGTGGCTTAAAGTGATATTTGACTCGGTACGTTGTGACTTATAGAGCCAGTTTGTGTAGTGATTAAGGCGCTGACCTAGGAATGGGGAGACCTGAGTTCCAGTTCTGCCTTAGGCAAAGGAGCCATCGGGGTGAGTCACCTTCTCTCAGCCGTAGGAAGAAGGAGGCAGGGGAAAACCGCTTCTGAAAACGTTGCTCAGGAAACTTGTCCAGAGAGCCAGTCTGGTGCAGTGGTTAAGGTGCTAGATTGGAAGCCGGGAGATGAGGAGTTGGGGCCCTGCCTTGGGCACAAAGCCGGCTGGGGGCCTTGGGCCAGTCCCCTCCCTCAGCCCTGGGAAGGAGGCGAACCTCTTCTGAAAACATTGCCAAGAAAACCAGGGACTTGCCCTTGTGGTCACCAGGAGTCAAGACTGACTCAAAGGCCGGGGCAGGGAATGATGGTTTGCCATTGGCTGACGTGTAGGAATTGGGACTCATGCTCTGATACTATCTTTAACTTGATACGACGCCCAAAAATAATTTTGGCATTTGCCTTGCCTCTGTGCTTGTCGTAACTTCTTACCCAGTGCAATTGTCCTGGCTGGAAAAAGATTTATTTTCTCTGCAGGGTTTACCGAAAGCCCAGTCGAGAAGCAGGTCTGCTGGTCTCATGGCCTGAGAATGCTCTGGGCATACTGACCGGTGCCCCTATTTCTGAAATGGCCTGTGGATGCCCCCTGTGAGGGCACCGCATCAGATTTGGAATAGGCAGCCCGTTAGGCGCAGAAGGGTGAATGTGGAGTGATTTTCTTCGGCTTCCAACTTTCAGGGCAGAAGCACACTGGCTCTCCGCAGCAGCATCAGTTTCTGGCTCTGACTGTGGCCTCCTTGTCACGGTCCAGCTCCGTTGCGGCACCCCTCGAGGCGCACGTTGCCGGCTCTCTCCACTTACAATGCTCCACGGCTTGGGAATGAGCGCCTTAAGATTGCTCAAGGGGCAGCCTTGGTCAGCGGCCAAAAGTTTAAGCAGGGCGTACACTTTCAGTGGCATCTTGGACAGGCGCATGGCGCCCACTGAGTGGCACCCAGTGCAGAAAGACTTTCTTAGTTAAATTCCTCGCTTCCCTGATGACAGTGGAGCAAGGCTTTGCTTAAGCACGCCCAACCCTGAGGGGAGGGGAGAAGACGGATTGCAATCCAGATGGTCGTGTGTAAAGAGGTCTCCGTCCAGTTTATGACAGTTCTCTAATTCTCCACCCCAGCTGTGGTCCCCTTGGTTGCTGCTGTTGCTGGTCCAGTAGGTTTGATTGTTCGGTGGGCAGTTCTCACCTCTAGCAGCCACCTTCAAGCCTGCTCTGCAGGGTCACTCGTCGGTCCCCCCACGCCCAAGGCCACGCTACTAAATTCAGGTGGCATCCATACATTTTCCAACGCTCTCTTGGGCAGGACCCACCGTTCTGGAGGTGTTCAACACCCTGCTGAAGCACCTGAGCCTGAGTGTGGATTTTGAACTGGGCAACAGGCGGGGCTCCAACGGCAGTGCTGCCCTCGCCCCCCCCTCCAAAGAAAACGATGAGCGGATAGTCCAGAACGCCATCATTCAAACGATCGGTGAGTTCCGGAGGTCGGGCTGAAAGAGGACATCTCACGCTGTATCTTATTGTTTAGTACCTTTTCATCCTGTTGGTACAAAACAGGGCAGCAGAGAGGGCCCCACTCTGGTTTTCCCCCCTGCAGCCATGATACAGTTCAGTCATCAAGCAGACGTTATGGCTGACACAAGCATTCTGCAGTTTGTGCCCTAACCATGAGGGAGTCTGCCTGCCCTGTGAGGTAGGGAATCGGTGCAGGGTCCGGCACCTTCCCCTGCCCTGACAGCCGCCCCCGCTTCCTTGTGCACCGGTGTGGATACTTCTTTCCGTGCACAAAACGAGGCTCTGCCTCTGTCTTATGCTGTTGATTGACAGAAATGGAGACTGACCTATAGACTGAATAAATTGTATCCAATTTATAAGCAAATTCTAAGCAAAGTACTATTTTTGTTCCTAAATGCCGTAATTAGCCAGAGTCTTGTTCTAGTTTCTTATTTTGATTTTTTTGACTATTTCCCAGCCAGAGTTTTCTGATATAGCTCTTACGAGGAGCTGCGAAAGGTCCTGTGTTGGCCCTGTACTCCTTTCCTGCTTCCTCAGCGATTGTTGAAAAAGGTGGTCCAATGACTTCACAAGATGTGGATGGGGAAAAATTCCTTGGGGTGTACTCACTGCCTTCCTTGTGTTTCCAGCTCTTCTCCGTCTTAGGTATAGATGGAGATTCATCCTCCCTTTGCTTTTCGTTCTGTTCTGTAGGTTTCTTCGGAAGCAACCTCCCAGATTACCAGCGGTCAGAGATTATGATGTTTGTCATGGGGAAGGTCCCTGTCTTTGGGGCATCCTCCCAGACCTTGGACACCAGCGAGCTTGGGTTTGTGTCCATTCTGCTTTTCTTTCTGAAATCTTGCCTGCAGCATGACTAGTATTAAGGCCATTGCTGTTCCTATTAATTCTTAGGATGACTAGAACTGTTGTTTTTTCTATTGGGCCACCCATATTCATGGTGTTGGACGCCTCAGAAAAGATAGACCTCATCTTCAGAGTTCTGATAGATGGATAATTGAATGTGAAGATGCAGCTCTGCTGACTATGAGATTCAGAAGAGCCTAGGCCAAAATGTCCATGGAAGTAGCAAGTTTTTGGACGGTTTTGAAAGAAAAGAGTTGGGTTCTAGGAGAAAGGGATCCAAGCCAAGAAGAGGTGAAGCAGTTTAAAGACATCCGAGGGTGACAGAGGGCTAAGATGTAATGAGACACACGGGCCTAGAGACAGCATGGGGGAAAATGCTATGGGGAGTTCAGAAGGAAAAGACAAAGAAGTTACTGCTTCGACTGCATATGGGAAGGCAGGGAGGAGAGAAACGATTGATGGGATCTTAGAAGGAATGGCCAAATGGCTGAAGAGGAAGATGGTTTGGGCAACCAGGTTCTCTAGGGTGGAAAACACAGATGTGTGAGAGCCAGAGGAAGAAAGTTTGCAGGAGATGCCTAGAGGTGAGGGGGCTAAGAGGAACGGGGATAGGAGAAAGCTTCTGGAATGGAAGGTCTTTCAAGTTCCCATATGGTCAAGCACCCTGAGGATTGGTTCTGTTTCTGAGCTTCCCTGCTTGCGCTTCGAAAATCTTTTGAGGGAACCGGAATGGAGCTATGGAGGAGTGATGGCACTCTAAAGAGGGTTCCAGGATGCATGGTTGTCATTTATATTTTTCCTTACTGGTTGCCTGTTGGTGCTGTCTTTGGCCATTTCAGACTCCACAGTATTGACCTGTAAAATGTTTGAGAAAATTTTTGTTGGAACAGGAGATGGGTGGACTGAAATGAGAGGAATAACCAAAATACATGTAATCCTTTTTTTTTTGCACCCTTGGCAGATATCTATTTATTGCATTTATATCCTACATTTCTCAGTATTGACCTGTAAAATGTTTGAGAAAATTTTTGTTGGAACAGGAGATGGGTGGACTGAAATGAGAGGAATAACCAAAATACATGTAATCCCTCTTTTTTTTTTTTTTTTTGCACCCTTATTGTTGGTCTATTTATTGCATTTATATCCTACATTTCTCTGAATGCTCAAGGCAACTTACATGGGAGTCTTCCCTAATTTTGTCCCCACAATAGAAACCCTGTGAGGTAGGTTGTGTTGAGAGAGAGAGGTTCTCCAGAGGTTTGGGACTCCATATATTGTGTCCAAAGTGTGATAATTTGAGCCTGGTCATTTGTGCCTCGAGAGATTTGTTCCATGATCCATTTGTCCATCTTCCTGGCTATTCATGGTATGCTCAGGAGTCTTCTCCACCCCCAAAGTTCAAAAGCGTCAATAGTCTTCCTATGCTGCTGCTTCAGAGTCCAACTTTTGTTTCCAGAGAGTGTCACAAGTACTACACGGCTTGCACAAATCTGACCTTTGTAGGTACAGACACATCACGGCATTTGAATATCTTTTCTAATGTCTTCATGGCTGCTCTATGGCGTATTTCCTGACTGCTTGTTCTTCGACTGGATGATCCTGAGAGGCAGAAGCTCTCCACCACTTTGATATCGTCATCGCCAATTCTAAGGAAGTGAATACACCTTGGTGGAAAAAAGGCACCCTTGTCCTGTGTTATACTGCGCAGCATGCCCTCTGTGTACTGACCGTAAAGATCTGTTATGGTTAATAGCATCCATAAAAGTCTTTCTAGTATGTAGTTTTTAGAAATCAGACTTAATGTTTTGATGCATACTTTAAAAAGAAAATACTCAGAAATATTTTTTAAGCCCTTTGTGTTTCCATTTTTCTGGTTTTTGGGAAAACTGAACAAAATTAACAAACAATGCCTGGGAAACCAAAAAGAAAAAGTTAAAACTCTTGTTTTCCCTCCCCCTTGCTCCCCTCCCCATTGTCAAACCTTTATTCCGGTAAAAGTTAAAAATCAGAAAAAGCGAGTGGTCAGAAGAGCCCCAAGCTGACCCGTGTTCTCCACCTGTCCTGATGTGGCAGAAACAGCGAGGCTGACCTTCCGTGAGTAAGAAAAGAGCACAATGAAGACCTCATGCCCGGCGATTCAGGGCTGGCTGTTCCATCTTCTATCATCATGAAGTTGACTTGAAATACGAGCAGATGGCTTTTGAATCCTGGCCCCATTCTGGTGTATTTTGCTTCTGTAATGCTGTCTTGGAGAAGCGTGCCAGAGTTTGCCATATTCTTTGCCAGTCAACCTGGCACGTATGTGAGAGAGGGGCAAGGGGCCGGTGCGGTCATGCGCCCCAGAACAGTTGTGCCTTGTCCTGGCTAGATGGTTTTCCAGCCAGGAACGCTTCTTGCTCGGTGGGTAGTCACAGCATTGCTTGGCAAGCTACAGCCCTGAACCTTTTCCCTGTTTCCTTCTGGAACATAATGTCCTCTTTGCTCTTTCTGATCCCCCAGGGATTTGGGAACCAGGAGGATCCAGATAATGCTGCTGCGGTCCTTGCTGATGGTAAGGAGGGCTTCAGGGATTTGTGGTGCGGGATGAGGTGCCCTATTTCAGTGGTACCATCTCCAGGTGTGTTTGGATTACAGCTCCCCTAATCCCCAGCAGCATGGCCTCCCTCCTGTCAGAGGATACTGTTACAGGCTTAGTGTCCATAGAGAAATTCATTGCTCTGTTTAAATATTGAGACTATTTCAGAAAAACCTTGAAGTGAGTGACCTGCAGCCAAGATGAGGCTGGCTGAAGCTTGGAGGAGCCTCTTGGGTCCTCTCCTCATTGGCACTGAAATTTAGTTGTGAACTTTGTGTCAGATTTCTACTTGTTCCCACTTGGGAATGATCTCTAGTCCTCTGAAAGCCTTAGGAGTAAGACAATCCCAATAACCTCTGCAAACTAGCCAGGATAATAGAGCTATATATAGAAACCTTTTGGGATGGCTCGCTTTATCCTGTCTTCCTCTCCATCTGTTCTGCTTATGGGCACCCTTCACCCCTGGAAAGGTTGCACAGGTGACCCTTCCAGTGTAAAAGAAGGATGGCAGATCACAGTAGTGTTGATTTCCTGGTCGTGGACTACAGCTCCCACGGTCTCTTGACATCACGGGCTGGAGCTGATGATTTCAAGTGTAACGTTTGGAGGGCACGGGGTTGTGAAGTGGGGAGGAAAGACCCTGTGTTGTGAGCAGAACCCCCATGGTCAGGGTTCCCGTTCTTGTATTTCTAAATCCTAGGATTCTTTGCTAACTCACTTTACTGCAGTGTGTCTTGAGTAGCACATTTACTTATTCGAGCAGCCATCAGTCCTGAATATGATGGATGAATCGGGACCGCTTGCTTATGTAGACCTCCCTCCTTGGCAGGTGACCTCCGGGTACAACGCCAAGAGCATCGCCTCAGTCCTCTCAGCCCCCTTCCTGGATCCTCTGCTCTCCCCGTCCCTCATGGAGGACTGTGAGCTCCGGCAGCTGGTCCTGGAGATACTCCACAACCTCATTGATCGGCACGACAACCGAGCAAAGCTTCGAGGGATAAGGTAGGGTAGTCCTGGGCTAGAAGAAGCCGTCGAGGATGGCCTTGACTGGTGTTTAGCTGAAACAGGAAAATGAACAGCAAAATACCCTTGCTCTCCCAAAGAGACTCCATTCATCGAGCCTGGGAAATGTTAATTTATCGCTAATTGGCTTTGTCTTGATTGCTGTTGCACTGTCGTTGTTTTATTCTGTATTAGTCAGCCAGAGCTGCTGTTGCAAGGTGGACAGCTCTATCCATCAGATCAGTAAATCAATTATAAAGTTTCAGAAGATGCTCCAGAGCTCGCCGTATTCTTGGCCAGTCGACCTGGCACATACCTGAACATGCACAGAGCCCTGGGCAAGGGGCTGGTCAGGCCAGGCACCCCAGCGCGATCGTGCCTTGTCCTGGCTGGACGGCTTTCCAGCCAGGAACGCTGCTTGCCCTGCTGGCAGTCGCAACATCCCTTAGGCTGGACCTTTCCCCGGTTCCCTTCTAGAGCAGAACTTTCCCCCTGCTCTTTCCCATCATCCAGGTATTTGGGAAACATATCTGTTCTGAAAAATATATGAGATTTCTTCCCTGGATTTTTGTTGAGTTCTCAAGTCAGTTCATGACAAAGTACAGACTACTTTAAAAGGAAAATTTAAAAATTCAAGAAAGAATTAAATGAACTAACACTTAAAAAGAGAGGGCAAAATGTAGTCCCCAGGTGACTTTGGTTTTTATGCAGAAAAGTGGAAAAGCATCCAAGCAGATTTGTAATAAGAGAGCCCCCCCCCCCCAAGAATCAGCCCCTAAATTGTGGAGGCTTTTCAGAGTAAACAGTACTGCCATAAATAGTGCCTAGAAAGCGATCCACCCATGATTGAAACAAACTTTTTCCTGAGAAGGCACATGGGGCAAGTCCTCCCTCCTTCTTTCCTGTTGATCTACCAGTAGTTGGACCAGTTGCTGCTGACGGGTGCTGGGCCTGGCTTAGAGCGGCATTCTCTGGGGAGGGCAGATCTTGCCACGAAGCTCAGGGACCGTGGCCCCCAGGCTGGGCTGCTGCCGTGTTCCAGTGGCTGGCTTTGCTTTAAGGCAGCCTGAATGCTTCACCTGGTGCAGGATGCACATGTCCCAATGCTGCCTGGGCAGTTTATGTGGTATTAGTTGTGCGAGTTGTCGGTGTTTTTCAGGCTGAACTGAAACGGCGGGTGGTGATGCTGAACTCCCCAACTTGTTTGGGGCTGGTGACTAGAACGGCCGCTGGCCACGTGGGACGATAGACTTTTAAGGCACAGCTCGAGCAGCAGGTCATTCAGCTGACCAGGGGAGCATCCAGACTGGTGGATCTCTGGTCTGTTTGGGATTTGCTACGTTGCTGCCAATCCTTAAGCAGGCATGGACAACCGCTGTCTTTCCAACATTGGATGGGTTTTATCGGAGGCTGGTTGCTGGAATACTGGACCCCTGGTCACTGAGATAAATGCACCGTCCATGTGCAAGAGCTACCTGCTCTGGGTGGGTTTTCAGGTATTCAGATCTTGACTGAATCAAGTTTGTGACTGCCGTTGTCCTTCAAAGACACGTTCTGTTATTCCATCAGAATTTTCCATGTAGTTCTTTTTCGTGTGGCCAGTGAATATGCAAAAAGAGATGAATTATCTGCCTGGGGCAACGCTTTGAAGCAATGCTCTAGTGCAAAACCAACACAGTTTACAAAGACTCAGCTTCCATTCTCCTCCGAGTGCTTCCTGATTGTAAGCTGTGAGCATTTCTTCCATTTCTAGAATCATACCTGACGTGTCCGATCTGAAGATAAAGCGGGACAAAATTTCACGGCAAGATGTGAGCTTCATGAAGAAGGTAATCCCCAGAGGCGACTTGCTTTCGTCAAAGCACGCTAATGTCAGTCCCTTTTGTTGCTGTTGGAGCGTCTGTGTAGCTTTCATAAAGAGGTCCTGTATTTTCCTTGGACGTGCCATGCCTCCTGCGATCTCAGAGCCTTGGCCAACAGGCCACTTCTGCTTAGCAGAGGCTTCACCAGAAAGAGGCAGCCCTTTCTTGCTTATAAAAATTGTCCTTATTTAAAAGAGAAAAAGGAGGGGATGGGCAGTGTCTGCAGAGAAGCAAGGTAGTCCTGTTAGTAAAATGAATAAATAAAGGACGAAGGGGAGGCCCTGTGGGTGGTGATTGTCCCCACGCAGCAGGCAGAAGATGACGGAGGTATAGGGCTGGGTGGGCCACAGCCCAGTGGTGGGGAATGTGTTACAAAGCGTGATTGGAGCATGATCAGGGGGAGGGCACCATAAAGCATTTACTCTTAGCATCAAAGATCGTATCTCACCGCTGCATTGCATAATTTTTTCCTCTTCTGGGCAGCATGGCCAGCAACTGTATAGGCACGTTTACTTGGGCTGCAAAGAAGATGACAACGTGCACAAGAATTTTGAACTGCTCTACACGTCGCTCGCTCTGATAACAATTGAGCTGGCAAACGAAGAAGTGGTCACTGACCTCATTCGCTTGGCCATTGCTCTGCAGGTATTTAAGAGGTGGGGGAGAAAGCAAAGGCAGAGGGAGCCCAGTCAGGGGAGATGAGATGCAGGTATGTACGTGCAGATGAGCATCTGTGAGAGAAAAACAGACATCAATGACGCACGGCTGTCTGGAATATTTCTGAGGAAGCGACTTTGCTCCTTGTGTGTCTGATTTTGTTCCTTTCTCTTCTTCCCCCCGGCAGGATATGGCCATTCTTAATGAGGACAACTTGCCAATGTTCAACCGCTGCAGCATCATGGGACTGGTCGCCGCGTACCTCAACTTCCTGAGCCAGATGATAGCAGTCCCCGCCTTCTGCCAGCATATTAGCAAGGTCTGCCTCATTCTGCTCCTCCTCGGTTAAAGTAGACATTACGGGTTGCTCCCTTTTCCCTTCCTGTGGGCCCTTCTCCCTTTGTACCACCTGAACCTTTCCCAATGCTTCACACCTCTGGAGCGTTCCGCGGGCAGGAGCAGTGATGTTGCTCCTATTCCGGCTCCTCCAGATGCTCCTCCAGGACGTATCTCTGGGTGTCACTCGCATTTTGGTGTGAGAACTGCTGCTCCTTTTGACTTCTTATCAAAGAAGCTGAAAGAGGCCAAAGGGCCACCAAATCTAGGCTTCTGCTCCTCTGCCAACAAAAATTGTGGGCAACAGATTTCATTCTGCTCCGTTCACAAGTTTGAAGGGTTTTTTTCCCCCCACTGCTTTTCAGGTAATTGAAACTAGAACGGTGGAAGCTCCATACTTTTTGCCGGAAACCATATTTCGAGATAAGTGCAGGTAAGTGTTTCTGGTTTGGCTGATAAATGGAAATCAGTCATTACAGCCAGCTCTGAACCTTTAAGATAGAGATGGGGGAAGACGATGCCAAAAACCAGTCCTTGGTCCCCGTGTAGTTTGGGTGCTTCGGTATTCTTCCAAGATATATCCCTTCTCTGAAAGTGCAGATCCCAGCTTACAATACTAAAACTCCTCTTCCTCTCCCCATTTTGAATTATGAAAGATGCGTTGAAAAAAGAATGGGACCAAAATCCAAACAGGATAAGAGAAAACCGTATGGTTATTATATTTGCACTTTTTAATGGCCCTCCATTCCACCAGGATCCCAGCTGAGATCCTGGGAAAAGATGGCAAAACCAAACTAAATCTAAGAATTGCACAAGAACCATTTCAGCAGCGAAACGTCTGTATTGCCATCCTTTTTCATATTCATTTCCTTTTATCTTGAGGAATGAAATTTTCCATTGGGTGGATTTTTCAAAGCACATGGATGTAGTTTTAGCAGTTTCATTTTCATTAGGACATCCTAAAGATGAACCTGCAGCATTTTACTAAATCTGGTGTTAGATTAGATTGGCGTAGTAGGATATTACAGGGAGTCCCCAGTTGAAGAACGAGTTCCGTTCCCAAGGTCGGTCCTTAAGTCGGATTTATATGTCAGCCGGAACAGGATGATTGGATAATACTGTGTACATAGTATCGTGTAATGAACTCAAACCGTTGTGTATTTAACTCGAATTTTGCTACAGTAGACTCCGTTCTTAACTAGGGGTCATCTGTAAACCGGGCTTTCTTAACCCGGGGACTCCCCATATCAATAAAGAAATTCAATGAAGATTTCACTGGGGTCATCCAGCTAAGAGGAAGGAAGTTGAATGGATCGTAAGGAGAAAATTCAGGGGAAAGCTTGAAGCATGTTGTTAAGGCAGTGGGATGCAATGGGCAGGCCAAAATGACCAAAGATGAGACTAGCTCTCTGGAAGGCAGAAGTCACACTGAGGAAGCTCACTATATGAACACCCTGGCAGTTCCCCCAAGCTCTGGGCTAGGAGGGGGTTGAGCTGCCAGGATGATCGGTCTGGCACCTGGGGGAAGGGCACCTTTGTTTTTAACCATGTTTTATGGATTGCTTTGAGCCGCCTAGAATCATTGCGTGAGGTGGGCGGCCATATAAGATAAATGTAAATAAATAAATAAATGCTTTCTACCATCAAAAGAGTTCTGTCCATAGGAAAAGGTTAGAGAAACCTAAGCGGACTGTTCCCTGCCCGCTAGAGGAGGCCAGACATATCCAGTAGCCCAAATTATTGTGGTGAAGTATGGAAGGGAATGACCAAGAAGAGGGATGTCTGCCTGGCTGGCACCCCAGTTGGGAGCCCTGACTTCCCTCTGCAAATTTTTGTTAGAGGTCCACTGATAACCTCACTGATTTTCCCCTTCAATTCTACCAACTTGTTTTTCACAGCATTCCCCAAACCTTTGATAAAGACGACAAGAGCTTGTTTTTCCTGACTCACAAGATCGCTGAATCCTTGGGAGGCAGCGGCTACAGCGTGGAAAGGCTGTCTGTGCCTTATGTGCCCCAGGTGACAGGTGAGATGCTCTGGGCATGGTCTTGCCAGTGGGTGCTTGGGTGACTCAGGACAATTATCGGAGACAACAGACCGGAGAGGAAACAGCTTGGTTTGGGGACCTTGATTGTGAACAAGTAGGATGAAACCACCTCTGTTTCTGTTGGAGATGGGCAATTTGTGGCTGAGCCAATGATGTTGCTGAACTGCAGCTCACAGCCCTGGCTATTCTGGATCTGGAAGGCCACCTGTTGGCCATCCTTGATGCCCTGTTGAAGATGCCTTGGATGCTAAGGACTCCTTTCTTCTCTTTTGTACATCTTGCCCCTTCCGATTTTGCTTCCCCAGGCAGCCACGTTGTCATTTTGCTGGGCCGCTTGACAGTACGCCAGGTGGTCTGCTTTCCCACTAGACAACATAAATGGTAGAAGCCATCTTTGGGGGCAGCAGTGGGGAAAGGTCTGTATGGGCAGAAGCAATGGTCCTTTGGATCACATTTCTTATACCTCTGCCTCAGTTTGACCAGTCATCATTTCATGGTTGTATCAGCCCCACTAAGTAGATCAGACCAGAAAATCAGCTCCACAGGAAGTGTAAAACTACTTTTCTTGAGATGGGCTACAGTCGTGTGAAAAAGAAAGTACACCCTCCTTTGAGTTCTATGGTTTTACGTATCGGGACATAATAAAAATCATCTGGTCCTTAGCAGTTCTCAAAAGTAGGTAAATGCAACCTCAGATGAACAACACATGGCATATTACACATGTCGGACAGATGGCCTCACATTTGACTCTAGATTACTTTGGTATACAGAGGAGTTCATGGTGACTCAATGACTGCAAGATGCCCAGGTCCTGTGGCTGCAAAACAAGCCCAAATCATCACTCCTCCACCACCGTGCTTGATGGTTGGTATGAGATGTTTGTGCTGATATGCTGTGTTTGGTTTTCGCCAAACGTGGTGCTGGGCATTATTGGCCAAACATCTCCACTTTGGTCTC